GTTATGCTGAATCGTCGGTGGATTTTTTGAACAACTATATATATATATATATATATATATATTGATGAAAATTAGCATGTTCGGCGTTAGTTAACTTCAAATTTAACTTTTCGATTTTTCTAACGGTTGATCTTCGGTATTCGAAGATGGTATAAGAATACCGAAAAAAGCTTTTCTGTTATATCATGCATAAAATAAACCAAAATTTTGGTTTTGAACTAAAGAAACTTGAAAATGATTTACGATCAACTGTTAAAAAAATCGAAAAGTTAAATTGGAAGTTAACTAACGCCAAACATGCTGTGATTTTTATCAATAATTGCATTTCTGACAGTCTTAATCCAACATATAAATATATATAAATAATATTGTATGAATTCTACCAAATTTAAAGTTTTATCTTTTCAATTTTCCTTACCAGAATTTTCAGGAAATTGTTCAATTTATTATCTATTATCTAAGTTTATCATGAAAATTTTATAAAGCTGTTGGTATCCAAGTTCATCATGCAAATAAGGCCTCATTTCAATTTTTTATTAAGTCATCATAAGTGCAAGTTTGGTAAAGTTTTGCAAGTTTCTTTAAGCAAAGCAAAGTTCCTTAGCAAAGTTTATAAGATGGTATCGTATTCTTCATTTTTGTTTTTGCCATTCCTCTGTTCTTCATTGTTATTAAAGTTAGTATTAAGGCGTCAAGTTGGTAATGATCATTCTTTGTTGGATGTTTATTTGGGGTTTATTGATATTTATTAGGACAGCTTTTGCAATTCTTATTTTTGTGTTGTTGTCAAGAATGTGGCGGGTTATTGGAGTTGCATGTGTTGATTGTAAGTGAGATTTGATGGCTCCATTTTGTGTATGCATTGTGAGACGTCTTGATAGTGAAGTGGTCGTAACATCAACATACGCATGTTTTTTTTTGGAAAATCAGGCAATAATTACTCTGGTTCAACTGATGTTCAACAGAGTTGAAACATTTCTCTAATCTGCTCATTCATCAAAACGACATAATATTTGATAATGTAACACAAACGTTGCATTTTTCACCGATGTAAACTCATTTTTTTTTATGAAAACCAAGATGTCCTGTAGCCAGTTCGTTCAAAAACGATCATTTACAGATTTATAACGAGAAAATTGATGGTTCAAAAGCGGTTGAAGATCACTAAAATAAATAAAAAATTGTAAAAATAATAATAAAAATGTTGAGTGCATATTTTAATGATGACATTAAAAATCGTTCGGGAGATTTTAATTGTACTGGAATAAATTGGATAAAAACAAAACATGTGTCCACTGTTACATAAATTTGATAGAACAAGTGTGTGTCCGCTTGAACATCAATTGGACCCGAGTTATTCGAGCTCGATTTTTCTAAAAAAAAAACGCAATGTTTACATTAAAAAAATTATTTACCTTAATAGGTGGTTTTCGAGTGATATGTGAAACTAGAAAGTTCATTGCTATGTCTTCACAATTGAGAAACTCATCAACTTTGTCTCGAATGATAGGTGACATTATGTTGCTGTATATGTACATGTAAAACTGTTTTGAAAATGTAACAAACAATTAACAAACAATTTTATAAAAAATGTCGACACCTTTGATTATTAACAAACTGAGGTAATGTTATTTGTTGAAATTGTTTTACTCGGAAAAAAATACAATATAATTTACGTATAAAATGTCAGTACAAATTAAGAATTTTCTAGTGCAAAAATGCATCAACCTTATGAATGAATGCAGCTCCAGTCAGTACCATAGACATTTCACAGGTGTAGTTTGAATTGTACATGAACTTGTTTATATCTTTGTAATAGGAAACATATCGTCCCGGAAATCCAACCAATTGATCTCTATTCTGCCTCCAAACTCTTAATTGAAATGTTTCACACACCATTAAAATTTGAACAGAATTAAGATAACATGGAAAAAATAATGCATGTCTCTTACAAGTTTGCGAGTAAAATTAGTTTAATAAATTTGAGCAGCAAGGTGATTGGATTTAGATGCAAAAAAGTTCTCCAGTTATGGTGCTTTGATTTTGAGCGTACCTATGAATATGTGCAAGTAGTGTCCTGGAGAAAACATATTCCAAGAGCCCCCTTGACAAGGTCGAGAGCGCTGTAAAAGATGCATTAACCTTATTAATGATCTCTTCAATTTTAGTGGTGTAAGAGCTACTTTGTTAAAGTCAACTTTTTAAAACTAACATTAAGCTTAACGTTAACCGAATATTGAATTTTATTAAATTAATTGAACCACTATTTTGAAAACAAATTGAGTGAAAAACAAGTTATTGAAGAAAACAGTAAGAAAATCGTGTTCAACCAGCATTGATTTATTGAGATTATATTCAATTTATTGTTCAAAATTAAATGTTCTAACAGCTATAAAAACTTAATTCGCTAATAATAATCAACAACTATCGATGGTTTATATGAAAATTGCAACTTTCGGCTATTCTGCTTTAAAATGGTTAAAGTTGAACGTCAAATTTCGGCCAAGCCAAACATTTGGTGCGTCTCTACAATTAAGTAAATCAATTTGAAAGTGTTTGAATTTATACAATACAAAAGATAATATAAACAAGATGGTTGAAAAATTTTTCATAAATTACGAAAGATTTAAAGCAAATTAAACAAGCTCCAACAAATTTATACCAAAACAGAGAAAAACATCTTTTTAAGCTAAAATAATCGACTTCGAATGAAAATGAAAGAAGGCCGGGTGAAAAAATGTATATGTAACAATGGAGAATTTATTTTTCCCAGTAAGTTATGGCATTATTGAAGATAATATTTAAAAACTAACAAAATTACACAAATAAATAATGTGTCAACAAAATAAAATGAACAAATTATAAATCTGAGCCTGATAAAATATTTGTTCTGCATGATTATCTTCTTACGTTTATTTTTTTTACATGATAGCTTAGTATATTTAGTTGAACTTTGTATATCATTATTTAACACAACAATGAGAGGTGAATTTTTAATATTGACGACATCATTTTTTCTAATATATCAATTTGAAAAATTATGGCAGAATTGAAACAACGCAACACCAAACGTTTTAACTTATAGCTCAACATCAATTTGAAAAAAATAACTTTTTTGAACCAGTGCTAACTATCTAAATACTTAAATAAGAATTGCAGGGACAGATATATTTATAAAATTTTCAATTGTGGAAATTGAATTTTGAAAATGAAAGTTCAATGACAAAATATAATGAAACGGTTATTGAGCTAAATTATACCCCAAAACAAATTTTTACAATGTATTGTTATAACCACTGCAATGGTCAAATTACGCTATATTATTTGTTATCTTGATTATTAGTTATCTTTGTTATCTTTGCTATATTTGTAATCTTTGGATTTTAAGAATCTCTTGTATATAAGGAGGCTAAGTAGAGAAGTCGATAAAAAAGGTTTGAAGAGTGGTTTGTAGCGAGTTTTAAAGCGAAGTTGTTATTGCGATTAATGTAGTTACTTGGATTAGAGATCTTTGAAATTATAACATTGGTGTTAGTTGTAACGAACGTCAAAGATTACAACACTATATTGTATAAATTATGCAACATCGTAGCAGAAATAAACGCACAAATTTTGTTCTAAAAATGAAAATGAAGAAAATTTATATAAAAAATCTATAAACTTATTGGTTAAGTGCTGTTGCTATTGCTGTTACTCTCGTTATTATTCAGGAATTTGTTACAAGACTTATCAAAAATTTCAGACTTGTGGACTAATTCATGTGGTAATATAAACTAAATGTACTATTGAAAAAGAGACTAGTAACTGTTACTCGTCTTTGATTACTTGAGGTCACATCCTTCTTGCTGTGACCATTGTTAATTAGAAAATGTTTCAATCTGTTTAATTCCCTCATGCTGGGGTGCACTGGCTATGAGGCGTGTCCACAGGTGTTGGATAGGGGAAAGTCTTAAACAGGGAGATCTTCTGAGATTGCATCGAATAATACGAAATAAGATGCCGCGAACCAACTGTACCAGAAGAAAGAAGACAAAGGTGAAAGTGGCGGAGGATCCAAGGACAACGGCTCCATCAGCGGATGATCTTCTATTCTAAATCCACTGCCTTGTGGAACAGGGACCTTTGACCCAAAGGCTAGATACACTACTTACAACAGTGCTCTCTTGGGCACGAGACAAACAGCAATTGCACTGCCTTGTGTGCTTCCAGCAAAAAGACAAGACCCACAGCTTATAACTGGTGGTTTTCGTTAGGAATTGGGCAATTCCAGATATAAAATTTGTTTGACCCAAACATCTTCCATGTCATCACAAATAAGAAAAGATCCCCTGTTCCCTGAACGACCGTAAAATAGTCAATGGGTGACAATATCCAGGAAGTACGCAACAATGGAGGGATGTTGCGGAAAATCGGGCGTCCTTACCTGGAATATCAGAATTGGCACTTTAAATACTGGATCGCTTACTGGACGCTCCATGGAGATCGTCGACATGCTAGAAAGGCGAAGAGTTGACATCAGTTCTTTGCAGGAAACAAGATGGAAATCAAATGGTGTCTCTCTCATTGGGAGTTACAAGTTGTTCTGGAATGGCCAAAAGACAGCCAAAAATGAAGTGGGAATCATTCTGTTCAGTCTTTTTTATTGCAGCTCTGACATACGCAGAGAACCACTTACAATGTTGCATATATATTATCTATATATCTTTATTATTTTCTTCATATCTTCATCCATTGATTTGAAGCAGCCATCTTCGCCACAAAGGCTGTTCATCCTTTTCACATCTTCATACAGGAATCACTGGCAGAAAATGTACAGGAGGTGCTCGAATCAGCTCACGTCTAATGCTGATTAAACTCAGAATGGGAAAACAGGTTCTGACTGTTTTCTCTGCATATGCACCACAGACCGGTGAATCTGAAGACGCAAAAAATGACTTCTGGAACACACTCTCAGATGTCGTCAGGAAAACACCATCATTAGAGATACCATTGATATGGCGACCTCAACGGCCATGTTGGAGAGAAAGCAAATGGGTTTCACGGTGTCCATGGGGGCTTTGGCTACGGGTCTTCGAACGAAAACGGTGTACGGATTCTGGAATTTGCTGAAAGCCATGAACTCTCCCTGTTGAACACCTACTTCAAGAAGAGGACAGGACATTTGATCACATATAAAAGCGGGATGTAATGCACACAAATTGACTTTATTGTCGTCAGACAACACAAACGATTATTCCAAAGTCATTCCATGCGAAGCATGCATCCCTCAACATCGATTGCTGATGGCCGATATGATCATGGAACAATAATTTTTGTCGTCGCAGTTTTTTCTTCATTAGACAAAATTCGCGTGACTGTAACAAAATTTTCCGTCTTCATTTTTGAAAAATTTACTACAATGGAGCAGCTGGAGGAGATTTGAACATCAAGTAATTTATTCTTTTTTGCTTGCAACAAAACTAGGCTTGTTCACGAGCTGTTGTACACATTTTTTCATATCAGTCAACAATAACAGCAAAAGCAACAACAATAATATTTATAATAATAACAACAACAATAATAATAACAATAACTAAAACATGATAACCTGAATGCAAAAACAATCTCATCATGTCTGAGGTGTACATCATCGTCTATTGACAAGACAGCTTCTGTTACAATGGAACTATAAGGAAGGAATCTATTGTTTAAACTATTATGCACTGTTCTCATGACCTGCCAAACCAAAAAATGCAACGGTAGAGTAGATGCACGCACATTTCATTAGTTAATAGTTTAGTAATGCGTTATACAAACATCTGATTTGAGCCCAATTGGCAGATAGCGTAGAAATTGAAAAATTTACTACATAGTATACTATTAAACTATACTATTATAACCATTATTATGTAGTAAAAGCCAAATATTTTATGGTAAAAATTAAAATAATGTACCTCAATTTTTACTCCAATGTCAGGCCATTTGAGATCACGAGATGGGGGCTTATTATTGTTCCAAACAATAATAACCTTGTTCAAATAAGGGAGATTTTTGAATTTTGCTACTGCCGCTAATAATACTGTTTCTCGCTCATATGTCAATATGACAACTGTGAAATTTAAGTGTAAATGTGATTAAAATGCAAAGTTAAACTGTGCTTTCAGAAGTATTTTTGTAAAAATTTAACCCCACCGATACCGCCATTGTCAACATGAAATAAAAGTTTGTTGATTTGACTATCACCATCATCATCCTCATCATCATTATAGCATTCATAAAGCTTTTTTCAAAAGCGCTGACAAATGTCCCGTACTGTAACACTCTTCTTCCCAAAAAATAGTAAAATTCAATCACTTCCATTGACTGCTGCTGAATGTCCATTTTATACCTCAAACATACTTAGACCATGGTACAACAACAACAACAACACACGTTTAGACGACATTTTCCCCGAGATTGTGGGTTGCCGTTTGGCTACCTATGATGAAACCGAATGTCATCATAAATATTGGCTAATTTTAATGCAGGACGCCCTTCCTTACGCAACCACAGTTATAAGCGGTGGGCCTAGCCTTTGATGATCCAACATCACAGGCAGTGAGGGTCAGTTTAATGTCATAACCAGGACATTCTTAGACCATGGTAGCTAAACTTTAATATCTTGCATAAATACACAGTCGTCAACTCTAAATTCATTCACCCATTTTGTGAAAGCAGGATGGCAGGGCAGAATATTTGATTTCAAATAAATGTAAATCGCGATACCTTTGTCACATTAATAATAATAATACGAACATTTATACAGCGCTGATTCGCACAGCTGCTTCAGAGAAGCCAGAGTATGTAATAGAAAGATGAGTCTAACTCAGCCGCGAGGAACATTGTCTCAGTTTAGGAGGCAAGGTACTTCAGACACTCGGAGCCGCGGCAAGCGAGGTAGGATTTGGCGGAAAATATTTTTGCAGTTGTTTATAAGTTCTCGAATGGCCTTTGTTGAAGAAGTTTTTTAAAAATATAAAACATATTTTTAACTAATTAGAATCAATCCGTCCAATCGAAAGCTGCACTCATATCTAAGAAAGCAACCAGCGATACATGTTGGTTAACCAACGCTGCGCACAAAGTTGAGAAAACATGTAGCAAGGCCGTTTTTGTTGAATGATATTTTCTGTATCCCGATTGATTAAAATGTAACAAATTATTTTTAGATAAATACCTTAGATATGAAACCAAGATTTGAAATCAGCCTGCAATTAGTGATATCATTGACACCATGATTTATTCACTTAAAAGTTGGATAACCATTACATGTCTGCAAGATGCAGGAACAGTGTCAATAGTCAAACACACGTTGATAAGACTTGCTAAAATATGGAAAACAAACCATGTTTTTTTTTTTGAAGAAATACGTGGGCCAACAATTAAACATGTTTTTGTTGGACAATTTAAAATTATCATTATAATTTCTTCTTCACTATATTACGGGAAGACTAGAATCTCGTTGCTTATCTCAATCTTCTTCTCAAGGATAGATGATTTGTTACCGTTGCATCTCGAACTCGTTCAATTTCATCTACAAAAAATTTCAGAAAACCATCACTAGTGTGCACCGTTTCAGTCTTATCAATATTGTCAACAGAGTCTTTGCAAAGTAGTTTATTAAGTGCATTCCATAGTTGTTTCGGTCTGTTTCTATTCTCATCAACTAAATTTGGCTAACTTTTATTAGCCAAAACCAATTTCTCTGATTTCAGCAGACTAATCTATTTATTTTTTTCATCACTTGACATCGATTTTCTATAACTTCTTTCAAACTTTCTACAGAGCCTTTTATGTTGCCGATATTCATTATCATACCGTGGCACTACAGAATCACGACGACATTCTACTCTGTAAAGCGGTGCACTATATCTAAAATCCTTTTTATTTCATCTTTAAATAGATCAAACAAATTGTCAACATCCACATATGAACATGTTTTACCAATCGGCAAACCGATAACCAACGAGATAAATTTTTCTTCATCAATATGTTTTCACGATCTGATTATTCTATAGTATTTAGAGATGTCTAAAAAGCAGACAAGTTTTAACCAACCCGTGGTCAGAATATATTCCATTTGGATAAACCATTACATCAGAAATATACAAACCATTATTAGAAACAATCAAATCCAATGTTCCTCCTAAGCTATGAGTAGGCTGGTTAATCCAATTCTTCACACGGAAACCATCACCTAATTCCAGCAATGATCTGGCATGCGGACATTTTTGTCTATCGACACGAACGTTGAAATCACCAACCAAAACAAGATCTGAGACCAACAACGACATATTATCCAGAATACATCTAAGTTTCTTAAAAAAACAGTGCTGTTGGGATGAGCATTGATCCAGGTCTATATATGGCCAACAAACTAAATTCATACTTACTATATGTCATTCTTATTGCGATTGCCTCAAACGTAGTTAACGACGGTAAGTCAAATCGTTTGCATTTGAACCCCTTTCTAAAATAAATTATTAATCCACCATGATATGGATCGTATTTTCTGACATAATTTTACGGAAATATCATTTTGATCCCCATGCCATGTTTCAGTTAGCACTAACACATCTAGTCCATCAACCAAGAAGTCATACACGTCACTAGACTTAGATACTAATGATCTAATATTTAACAATCCCAGACATATGTTACCATCATTAAAATCATCATCAAAGCTCGGCAAACTACTAAAAAAACCATTGGAAGAACCTTCATTTTAAAAAAAACCATCTAATTCTCTATCCTCTCCAAGATTATCCACCATCCAACCACCCCTCTCGCTCCGTATAAAAAACCTTGTTGACGTGTCGCTTCATTCGCTTTAGCATCAATCACCAAATTCTTCAGTTCACTCTTTTGCGCGCGTCAAATCATTACATAGTCTAAAGTTTTTTAGGTTATCTTCTAACTAAATAATTTTAGAAGTATGCTTTAAAAAATCCTCTTTTGTATTCAGGCTATCCAACTTTATAAAGACCAAAGGAATCACCGATTCATTCTTTCTACCTAATCTAGAGACTTCAATCAATCAATCTTCGTTTTGCGTCCAGAGACCCGGTTTCCCGAGGTAGGACGTTGTTTTCTTTGCCATCAACTTTTTGCGCCAAATTAGACGATCAGTTGTATCTATTTCATTTAAATTTAGAGCTTTCATGTCTTGCTCGATTGTTTGCGACCAAGACTTCTTTGGACGATATCATCAGTATATACTAGATTCCAAATGTCACCAGTGCGTATCGGTTTTGTGATTTCTTTCATCACAGTTTCAAAAGCTGAAGAAAAGTCAAGAGCAAGAAGAAGAGTAAGATTACTATTGTCACTAGAGAGAAGGATATCATTGTGTATTTTAAGTAAAGAAGTTTCAGTACTGTGAGAAGGTCTGAAACCAGATTGAGATACAGGTAGCAAAAAGTTAAAGTCTAAATAGGATGACAATTGATTAAAAACAACTTTTTCTATTATTTTAGAGATGAAAGTAATATTAGTTACAGGTCTATAATTAGATAAAGAGGTAGGATCTAGGGATGAGTTTTTAAGAATGGGAATAACAATAGAATTCTTATAAGAAGTAGGAAATTTAGAGGTGGAAAGAGATAAATTAACTAATTTGAGAATGATTGGATAAAATATTGAAGAAAATTCTTTAAGTAAATTAGAAGGAAGTAGATCTAGAGAACAGGTTGTAGATGACATAGAAACGACGCGAAATCATACCGTCCTATATCTCTTCTATGTCCGGCAGCTAAAGTATTTGAAAAATGCATCCTGCCGATCATCTCGAATCACCTAACCATAGCGAGCCATCAGCATGGTTTTCGCCCACTTCATTCTACAACAACAGCTCTCACCACGATGGTCACCGACATCGCAAACGGCCTAAATCAGAAGAGGCCAGCTCACCGAAAAATCTTAACAGCATTGGACCTCACAAAGGTCTTCGATACCGTTAACCATCGCATCCTAATCTCCGACCTCATGTCAGCATCGCTTCCACGGTCAATAGTCCGCTGGTTGTCAAACTATCTGCATCAACAGAGTTCCGTCGACAATTTTCAAAACAACGCACCATCCGCTCAGGAGTGCCTCAAGGTTCTGTATTGTCACCAACTCTGTTTAACTACTACGTCTCCAAAATACTAAACCCTCCTACAGACGTCAAAGTTATCTCTTATGCAGACGATTTTTCAATCTATACTACAGGTCCGAATGCAGATGATTTAACACTTCGGCTCAATTGTTTCCTTCCGAAGGTTTACGACTTCTTCAACAGCAGAAACTTGGAGATTTCCACCTCCAAGTCCAGTCACCCTCTTCACCACACACACTTCACAGTATCACCATCATCCAGCAATAAAAATAAATAACAATTCATTACCACTCGAACATAATCCAAAAATATTAGGCCTCACGTTAGACACGATGCTGTCCTTCTCACAACACCATAAAGAAACAGCATCCAAGGCCTCAATAAGAAATAATATTTTAAAGGCACTAAGTGGTACAACCTATGGGCAGGACAAGGAAACATTTTTACAGATCTACAAAACCATCGATCTCCAACAATCGAGTATGCCTGTCCTGCCTGGGCATCACTGACATCAGACTCAAGCTTCTCACGTCTTCAACGCTCCCAGAATGCCGCCCTACGTCTGATTACAGGTTGCTATGTGATCGCCTTAAAACGGCACCTTCATTCAGAATGTCAGATGTTAACGGTAAGACAGCATTCGGAGCTAATAGCATCACAATTCCTACTCCTATGCCATAACCCTAGCCACCAGTGCCATCATATCATCACGCAACAACACCCTCACCGCAACATAAAGACCACCCTCCTCTCCAAATGGGCTTCAACAACTCATGCGGTTCTACCAACAACCATAAATAGCGTTTCTCTAAAAACACTACACAGTAGCACCATCAAAGCCGCCACAGAGACGTATCAGTCGCCGTTGCTGTTGCTTGACGGATGGCCTCCACCTACACCAAAAATAGATCCAAACAGAAGAATCACTTCCCAGGGCAATCAGACGGACCCTAGCCCTACTCCGTTCTGGCCATAGTATTCTTCTAAACAGCTACAAAAACAGAATCGTTAGTGGGCACCTCAACATCTGTCTTTTCTGCAACAATCATACAGATGATGTACCGCATCTGTTTAGCTGTCCACAAAACACCACAAAACTACAACCAATAGACCTCTGGAGAAACCCAATTGCAGTGGCGGTTTGGCTCCGGCCTCGATTGGAGCCCTAGGGGTCTCCCAGAATGGGGCAACAAAAACAGCAACAACGTTAATCTTTTCTCAATGATTTTGTCGACAATTTTTAGAGAGTGTTCTAACCGACGTAAACCTCGATATGATGAACAGTTCAATGGGTCACCTTTGCTTTTGTATAGCGAAACTGTCATGCTATAGTTCTAATCAGTCGGCATTGAGCAATTTCTCCACACTTCACGGCAAAGTTGTAGTAACGTTTGGATACCTGCAGTACCAGATGCTTTGATAATGTCATTTGTGAGTCCATCCTTCATAGTTTTCAGAGCTTCTGTAAGCTCCTCTACAGTGATGTCTGGAATCGGACCTTCTTACCACGGTATTTAAAATTTAGGTTCGTGGCAAAATTTGGGTTCATTTTGCATAGAGGTCAAACCAAATAACGTAAAATTTGGTATAAACCGTAAACACATTTAACAAAGGTTTTTTATACTAAAAAACTTGTAAACATTAAAATATTTTATTAAAAACAAAATACATTTCCTAAACACGTCTGTTAGAACACTCCCTGAAAATTGTCGAAAAAATCCTTGTGAGAAGATTAACGTCGTGCATCACAATCGATCAATCAATCAATCAATTTTTGTTTTGCGTCCAAAAACCCGGTTCCCCGAGGTAGGACGTTGTTTTCTTTGCCATCAACTTTTTGCGCCAAATTAGACGGTCAGTTGTATCCATTTCATTTAAATTTAGAGCTTTCATGTCTTGTTCGATTGTTTGCGATCAGGACTTTTTTGGACGGCCTTTTGGACGTGTGCCAGGTACTTCAACATCTGCAAGAGAAGTTATGGCACTGTTTCTACTTGGTTTGACATGACCAAACCACCGCAGACGGTGTTGCCGGCATTCGTCCTTTATATCATCTAAACCAGCACGACGCAGGATTTCGGTAGATTTGATATGGTCTTTCAGACTAATTCGTTGCATCCGTCGGAACATTTTCATGTCGGTTCGTTGAAATTGTTGTTCCAGTTTGGTTGTCATTGGCCATGTTTTTGTACCATATAACAACACCGGACGTATCACAGGTTTATAAAGTCTTGATCGTAGTGGTAGTGGGATGTCACGCGCATCAATATAGAGGCAGGGAGATGCCATTTATTTCAGGCTGCACGTATGCGTGCTCGAACGGCAGCTTCAGCTGTTCCAGTACAATCCAAAACATCCAAAGTACCAATTATTTTTGAACAACGTTTGTGACACCACTGGTTACACTGCTGACACTTGATTGAATTGTTACCTACACCAGCTTTACAAACTGAACAGGGCCATCGTCAAGTAGCTGTGGATTAGATGGGTTCACCAGTGTTCATTGCTTAAATTCCAAATGTCACCAGTGAGTATCGGTTTTGTGATTTCTTCCATCACAGTTATAAATAACAGTGGACTGAGAATCGAGCCTTGGTGAACTCCAACGCCGATGTCAAATGCATCTGTGTTTCCAACCGTTGTGCTGACACGAGTCTTAGTATTCGTATACATTTCCATCACAAGTCGAACAAGATATTCTGGAATGAGTTGTCGACGTAGACTCCACCTGTTGCTTCACGGGGAACTCGATCAAATGCTTTTTCAAGGTCTCTAAAAATGTGTGATAGTTGTTGATGCTTTGCGAGGTACTTCTCTTGCAGTTGCCGAAGGATGTGAATTGCATCAATTGTTGATTTCCCCGCTAGGAAACCAAATTGATAATTTCCAATTGTGATGCACGACGTTAATCTTCTCTCAATGATTTTCTCGACAATTTTCAGGAAGTGTTCTAACAGACGTATACCCCGATGTGATGAACAGTTCAATGGATCACCTTTGATTTTGTATAGCGGAACTGTCATGCTATAGTTCCATTCAGTCTGCATTGAGCAATTTCTCCAGATTTCACGGCAAAGTAGTAACGTTTGGATACCTGCAGTACCAGATGCTTTGATAATGTCATTTGTGAGTCCCGAGGGCCCTGCTGCCTTTCCATCCTTTATAGCTTTCAGAGCTTCTGTAAGCTCCTCTACAGTGATGTCTGGAATCGGACCTTCAATGGGTGGAGCGTCAAAGTTAACATTGATGGGATTTGTTTCGTTTAACAGACGATTGAAGTATTCTCTCCACTGTAGCTTGATCTCATCTTCTCATTGCTTGTATGCAACTTTCTTTTCAGCTATTGCATTTTGTACACTGTCATTCCACCACCAAGTGTCACGTTCATGCTGACGTTTTGTACCAGTTTTCCCCACAAACTGTAGTTGCAGCGTTCATCAAAACGGTTTTGTATGTACTCCAATCTGTACTGGCTTGCGATTGGTGGTCTAACTGTGTGGCGACTTTCACATTTATCGTGAAATAATCTAAAGACTTTCACAATACTATCATTATTATTTGACATGATCTTTGAAATGTGCTTGAATATCTTCATCTTAAGTTCACGGTCGTTATGATTTTCTTTCTCTGGTACGGTGAAAATCCCTAAATTCTTTTTTCACTCTTTTAACTCACTGGACTCATTCAAGGTGTTTTGGTCGTTTTTGACCTGATTGTTTATACTTTCTACATTTTTTGTTATATTTTTTCAGCAATGCTCGCCCATGAAGTTTTCGGGCCCTTTTTGAGGCTGCAAATCTCATCAACCATTTTTGTATCCTGCTTTTCCTATACAGTCAAATTATTCCAATTTTTACTGATCAAGGTTTTAATGGCGTCTGACTGAGTCTGAACTGCATTGTTTATTTCTTCAATTTTCTCGGTTTTTTCATTAACGTTATCTACAACCGACTTTACCAAATCCTTTGTATCACTTTGGGCCTTCAGACATTGCTCACAAAACCATTTAATACTGCTCTCCCTATTCAGTATTGACACTATTTCATCATCAATATTAACACATTTAGCGTGAAATAAATATTCAAAATGAAGAAATCTAAGTTTGGTTGACGGCGTTTTTCGTTGTTTTCACAACTATGCATTTTACACACCCCGCAGACATGGTTATTTTAGTTTAAATGTTTGAAGTCTGATTTTATATACAGCGCAATTCAACAATCAAAAATTAAACTTTAAATTTCAGAAAAATACAACTCACAGCACAAATAATGTGACTATCCTAAAACGCTTACAAATTTTACCTCGACAATTAACTACGAATTTAAATTCTATTGAATGAAAATTAATAAATGTAACCCAAAATAAACCGAATTAACCAACGAAAAAATATTGAGTGCATTCTGCAGAATTTTATCAATTCAGCGTAATAAAATTTAATCGAAAAACTTATTTTAAATTTCAAAAAACTAAGAAAAACACAGAGCAAAATTAATTTGATTTTTGACCTATTTAATTTTTGATTGTTGAATTGCGCTGTACCCTAAAAAAATAAACCAGCCTACATAAACAGCCATCTTTATATATGCCATTAACGATTAATAAGTACTCTGCCAAAAACAAATCATCATCATCGTTTGGTAACATGCAAGACTAATAATGTAGCTTTCAACATTGTAAATATTAAAAACTAATTTTTTTATAAGTTTTATTAGATAGAAAAAGCATACTTTGTAAGAAATAACTTAGAAAAATAACATTGATAACCAAATAAAAAACTAGTAGACCAACTAAAATTTCTCACTAGTGAATTGTTCTTTCGGAAAGTTGCCACCTAAAGATTCTTTGAATTCATCTCCTGATCCACCCAATCCATTTCCTATAGGCCTATAACCGTAAGCTGAACCTGCTAAAATTTACAAAAAATTATTCAAACTTAATCTTTTTTGTCATTCATTTAACTAATCAAAGTGTTTATAAAAACAATCGTGATATATATATATATATATATATATATATATATATATATATATATATTTACAATATTCTATAAATTCTACCGAATGTTTGGCATTAATATGTTTGTAGTTCGTTTTTTCGATTTTTCTCACTAAAGTTTTTTGGTGAACGTTTAGTTTATTAAAATTCAAAATAAACTTATTTTTCGAATTCATGCTGCAAATAAGGCCATATTTCGATTCCGAATGAATCATCGTCAGTGCTCCTTGTTGTATATATAGGGAAATATTGACTTGATTGTTGGTACTAGGAAGGTTATTGCTGTGTAGTAATTTGTTTTTAACAATCTTTTCAATAGAGTAAGTCTTATATCCATTGTTTACAAGCAGGTTAGTGACCCTCTTTAATTCAGCGTCGCGATTTTCAATATCGGAAGAGTGTGTGAATTCCCGGTTCACAAATGATTTTATTGTGCTGTCTTTAAATTGTTCAGTGCATTCACTTTGTCCATTCAAACAAATTCTGGTATTCGTTTCTTTGACATAGATCGCGGTTTTGAATCGTTCTTCGCCACGGGTGACCAACACATCGAGGAAAGGTAAACGTTGTTCCTTTTCACTTTCAATGGTAAATCTAAGTTTTGATTTGTTTAAGGTACCAAGAAGTTGGGTGATTTGTTCAGGATCGTTATAGGAGACAAAGATATCATCCACGTATCTGGCGTATTTGGTTTTAAACTTGCATTGTTTTTGATTGTTTCATTCTCCAGCTGTCCTAGGTAAAAACTGGCAAATAGGACGCCAAGGGGGGAACCCATAGCGACACCATCGATTTGCTTGTAAAGTTTGTCTGTGGGGCTGTGGAATGGTGCTTCAGTAGTGCAAATTTGAAGAAGGGACTTCAGTTGTGCTTTCGGTATGTTCAATGGAACCATATCTGAGTGGTAAACGGTGTTGATAATTATATCGATTGTATCATGAATTGGTACATTTGCGAATAATGATTCAACATCCAGAGAGGCAATAAATTTGGATGGTTTATTAATGCTGAGGAGATTAATAAACTCACGGGAAGATTGTAGTGTGTAATTGTTTGGAATATATGGGGTTCTCCTAGACCAGGTTTTTCAATCAGTGACGCGACCCCAATAGGATAAATTGCCAGGGGTCACTCAAGACCATCAAAAATATGTTTTTTTCTGTCATCTAATAAACGAAACAGGCTAATAAAGAAATTTTTTCGGTAGTATTAACTATGTTTCTGCAGCAATACAAAATCAGTGTAATGGAAACAGGAACTGAGAAACCTATAAGTAATTAACTTCTACAAGCCAAATCTATTAAACCAAGCATATTGAAACGTCATTTTGATTACAAAGCACCCAAGCTTTGCCAACAAGGAGTAAAGAAAATCAAATTTCAATCTATTAAGGACCATAAAAAAAGCGACAGCTGTAAAAATTTTTCTTTGATGGCTCTCAGAATTATTAATAAACCTGAAAATATCGTTATTAAGTTCCTATTCTGAGTGCGTTTTACCTTTCTCTTCCATTTCAAAAAGCATATCTTTGCAAAACGTTATTTTCTCCCTATAATTTCCATCTCGTTAGAAATTTATATGCAGTTTAATTAAATACAGAAATAGCCTTGATACGGAAGATGGTCCTAGCAAAGATAGGGCCAGACAATTTTTATCTGGTGAAAGAAAAACAATCTCGAAATCTTATTGGATAAAAGCGTTTCGTCTCAAACATTCATTCTTGCTCCACCTTCAGATTTGTACAGAATGTTACAAGAATACAGTGAACATGTTAAAAAAAGTAAATAAATGTTAAATGTAACTCGTTATGATAAAATTCATGTATCTATCATTTGATTAGAGTTAGGAAATCGTTTTTAGTAAATATTTTTGAACGCTTCAGGAAAATGTTGGACAATTTTTATGGTGATAGAAAATTCTTATGGCATTTGCCGATTTAATTTCTATCATTCATTTTGATTTTTTGTTTATTTCTATCTGTATTCATTTATATTTCAATTTGTATATAACTATAATATATTTCAATTTGTATATAACTATTATGTCCTGGTTATGACATTAAACTGACCCTCACTGCCTTGTGAGTGATGTTGGATCATCAAAGGCTAGGCCCACCGCTTATAATTGTGGTTGCGTAAGGAAGGGCGTCCTGCGTAAAAACTAGCCAAAAAATAATACTTATGATGACGGAAAAAACAATGGCACTCAGTATCCGGCAGAAGAGGGTACGAAGAATCTCCGGAGACCCAGTCCATGGGGTTGTGGTGCAGGGCCCTGTGGATGGTCTGGCTACTGGCACCCCACTCTATGGTGTGGCGGTGCAAGGCACTATAGATGGAAGGACTACTTGTAGACCAAGGGGTTGGAGGTTTGGTACCTGGAATGTAGGCACGTTGACAGGAAGAAGTTTGGAAGTGGTGGAGGAGCTGCAGAGGATAATGGTTGACGTGGCTGCATTACAGGAGATCAGATGGAAGGGTGAGGGTACAAGGTTTGTGGGGGCTAAAGGTGGAAGATATAAGTTGTGGTGGAAGGGGGATGATGGTACGGGAGGAGTTGGTGTGATGGTAAGAGAAGAGTTGGTGGAGAAGGTGTTGGAAGTGAGGCGGAGAAGCAATGGTGTAATTGTGGTGGTGATGGTGTTTGGAAAAGTAATAGTGAGGGTGATATCAGGATATGCTCCGCAACAAAGTAGGAAGAAAGAGAAGAAGGATAGGTTTTATGATGATGTTTCTGACGAGATTGGGTAAGCGGGGTTGGATGAGTTTGTGGTGTAGTTGGGTGATTTGAATGGTCATGTGGGGGCGGATGCAGACGGATATGAAATTGTACATGGGGAATAGGGATATGGTATACGGAATGAGGAAGGGCGTAGAGTGTTGGAGTTGGCGGATGCACATAGCATGGTGGTGGGGAATACCTGGTTTACAAGGGAACCAGCGCGATTGATTACATATAGGTCAGGGGAGCTTAGGTCAATGATAGACTATA